TTCTATGATTTTCGAAGCGATATCTACTGAGTTATGGTATCGGTTGGGTCACTACCATCCAATACGTTTTAGAGTTTACCCAGCTGACAACTGCTGATTGGAAGAAACTCGCAGACTGAACTTCTTTATTAACCGTGATCAAACAAATTATATCTGAATGAATAATGGGAATATTGAAGCAACTGTGAATAGATTCTTATGTACCAGTAGAAGCCGATCAATTGGATACAGTAAGGTGAAAAAGTGAAAAATACAAAGACACTTCAGTAAATATTCTAAAATGATTATGTAAGTTCAAAGCTACCTATTGCTATCAAGCTTACAAACTATGTAGGCATATTCATGTTTGGTAGATAGACGTATATATATATGAGACTGTGTACATATGCATAGTTATACTCAAGGTGTTTTAATCAAAAAGAATTCACTATGTAACCATAAAATGCACTATTCTCTTTCTGTGTGGGTAATATTGAGAATTACATTGATTATTTTATAAATATACTAAGAATTCTTTTCCTCATCAATATTGTTCCTATATAAGTGTATGACGTATGTCTTTCATTGTCTTGACACACTATCTTTGATTGATATATCATATGATAAATGTATATACACTGAAAAATATTTAGAGATTTCGTTACAGCTACAAAATCTTCCACTTCCAATTTTTATATTTAACACAAAAATAGAATTTTTCTGTCCTACTCTGGGGGACCATTACAAAGTTTGGCAGAAAAATAGAGCTGAAAATCTTGGTTATCTACTGTGTAGTAGTTAACCCATTTCAAATAAGCTCTCTCATATATATATATATATATATATATATATATATATATATATATATATATATATATATATATATATATACTGTATAGTGGATTTCTGTGACTCCTATACCTCAAAAATTTTCCATTTATGAGTGAAATTGTTTCTTCAATCCACTAGACATTTGGGGCTTTTTTTTCGCTGAACAAAGTGACAGTTTAAACTTTTAGAAAAGGGTAAGATATTGAGAGTGTTTTTTAAAAACTCCTTTCAAACCATCTTCTTTCTAGTTTGTCATTAATAATGATAAAATAGCATGCGAAAAATTGACAAAATTAAAGTGCTTATAGTTGTCTACTGCGTTAAGTAACAGAAGAAAAAGCATATTTTAAAGTTAGTAAACCATAACTGAAGATCTGTTTTTTAATTGTCTCTCTGGCTTAATGTCGTTTATTTGCTTGTTAAATTAGTTGTTCTTCTCAACTCATGTAGTTTAGAGTATATTTCATTTCTTCTGTACGTGAGTAGAAGGAGCCAAGTTTTCATTGACAAAATGTCTAGTACATAAATTCCCAATTTTATAAAAAAAACAAAATCTTTTCTGTCTATTCTTTTCATCTCGCGTTAAGCAGCTGGGTGTATTTATGTTGTTTTATCTTTTATACTGAACTGAACTAACATATATTTGTATACGTAGTGTTCATTATGAGCTGAAGTCAGCTCCAGAATTATTGAAAACTTGGAAAAGCTGAATAATCGTTTTATCCCAGCTACGGACTATTCGTCAGTACATCCTACCGACATTTTTCCCGGAACAAACTTGAAGTTTAATGTTTTGATAAAACAGATTTTCGTAAGGTAACATTTTACTGGAATGCAATGTTCATCTTTTTTAATCTTCAAGTGTCTTCACTCCTAACTTGATTAACGCCATAGGATATGCATTCTGACTAGAAATTCGCAATGATTTTTTGGAAACTAGTCACTAGTGACTCACTGAAATCCTGTCAAGTCCGCTAGTTCGTAGATAATTCTCGTTACACTAGTTGTTTCTGGAGAAGCAATTGTTCTAAATTTGTTTTGTCCTAATAATTATTTATTGCTGTTTTTGTTTATACTTCATTATTCTCCTGATAACAATTTTAAACCAAGTTTCTGTCTGAATCATCTAAAATGATCGTATTTATACTTTTGCTTCAAAAATAACGGTGTTTGCACACTAGGATTTTAGAGTGATTATTACTACTTTTTTCATTTGAGAAATTGAACACTGAACTGGTCCTTGTTTTACGAAATTATTCAAGTTAAGGTGAATAATGTTTGTCACTTCGGTTATGCTGGTTCATAAGCATACATGAACAGTATTCGATTGTCCTTTCTTCTAATGATAGGTGTTTTTCATGACTGATTGCTGATCATTCAATTCCATATTAGATTCGTTTATTCGATTTATAACATAGTGATACATTATTATTTACTTGATTATGTTTCGATCATAAATTATTGCTCACAATCATACATTACATGACTGCAAGGTCAAGTACATAAATAAAACTAGCCGGTCGGGGTCAGTCAGAATAGCGGAACATATGAATTCAGCTAAATACAGAATGACAGACCCTAATAAGATCAATAATCTAGAAAAAAACCCAGCTTTTCCAATGCATAATAGGATGGGATAAAACCACTCTGCTTAAGTCTAATATAATTAGGTGAATCTCTGTTCATGGAATCAGCACCCAACACATTTAACAGGAACGGCCCAACACCTATACCAGAGATATTGAAAAAATGTTACTACCAATAAAAACAAATAATATGAAGTGACAGGACTAAAAAACCAGGTGTCAAAAGTGGTGTGACTACACTGATACGATTATGAGCAATAATTTATACTCGAAACCTCATCAAGTAAATGATACTGTGTCACTGTGCGCCATATATCAAATAAACAAATCTAATATGGAATTACATTCTATGACAGTGCCCAAGTTTTGCACGTATATTAATGCTGTTCATTCAGTTAGTTTCAAGTTTGTATTCATCACGAACTGACATCAGTTGGAGAGCCATTGGAAACCTGGGAGCACTGGATAGCTGTTTTGTCTTAGCACAGGACTCCTCAGCACTGCGCACCTGCGGCACCTTCAGGATCGAACCCAGGACCTTCAGGTTGTGCTGCGAACGCACTAACCATTTAGCCACTGGGTTGGAGTTCAGTAGTTCACATTTTCCTACATGTGTTGTTTCGTGATACAGAGCGACCATCTATCAAGGTTTTTAGTTGACATCCGCTTCACTTCTTGCTGACTGACCCCTGGGGGTCACGGCTTCTCATTAGGACTTTGAGATATTCGTCTGGAAGCATGTCACTAGTAATCACTAAACAGTGATGTATTTGGAGGTGAATAAGGTTTTGATTTTAATTCTTTAGGTAGTGTTCTTCTCAGACCGACACCTGTTGAAGAACCATTGTAAATCTGGAAGCACTGGACACCAATTGACAGAAGTAGGAAAATGAGGAACATTGAACTCCCACTCAGTAGCTGAACGGTTAGGGCGTTCTCCATAAAACCTAAAGGTCTTGGATTCGGTCGCTGGAGGTGTTGTAGGTGCGTGCTGTTGAGAGGTTCCATACTAGGTCGAAACAGCTGTCGAGTGCTCCCAAGTTTTCAATGGTTACCCGACTGATGTCAGTCTGTGATGAATACTACCTTAAACAATAAATCCTCATTAACCTCAGAATAAAGTAAGTATTAACTGACTGTATATAAGTGGACATTTGTAAGTTTTTCTGTGATTAAGATTTATCGGTTAAATATCAAATGATTAACAGTTATCACATGGATACGCGAATCTATCATAATGGTGATCTTCTGATGCACTCTGATGGATATAGATTGTTGCTGGATGTCATACAGCATTTGACTGAATTACTCAATAATTCCTAGTGTTACTACTTCCATTCTTCCTTCATGTTTGAAACTTTTCATTAGAAAGTTGTTACTTTTTTTTACTCCACCATTACTTTTTATAACCCCGTTGTCGCTTTTTGTATCCTTGTAGTGACTACCCGGTATAACCTAAATTATATATATATATATATATATATATATATATATATATATACATATATATATATATATATATATATATATATATATATATATATATATATATATATAACCTTCAGATTCCACCTTTTGATGGTCGCCCAGTTTCTGGATAAATGGAAAAGGCAGCCATATAACAAGGTGTACTGCAAAGTAAAAAATATATACAAAATACAAGGTTCCACTCTGTCCTACTGTATGGCTGTGGAACATGGCCACTAGAAGTAGAAACATGAGAAGGCTTCAGGTGTTTGTCCACCGTTGTCTTCGAAGTATAGGCCGTATTCCATGGTGTCACCACGTGAGTAATACAGAAGTTAGGTGTAGAGTTTTAGGGAAAAACGGTAAATCAGTTGACACGATTGTGAACCTTCATCGACTAAGATGGTTAGGACACGTGTTACGTATGCTTAGTCACCATTTGCCTCGTCACACAATATTGGCCGAGGTAGGTTCAGGCTGGAAAAAGGCCCGAGGAGGCCGAACTAAAACATGGCATCAATGTATGGAGTCTTTGACTGTTGGTTTGAGTCATGCGGGGCGATGCAGACTAGCCGGCTGGGGTCTACGGGACAAGACGAACCAGTGGTTGAAGACTGACTCTGGGTGATCACATGGCTGAGAACCGATTTCAGTGGTGCAGATGTATACACACATTATCCTCATCTTAACGCTATCCCGAATCTCAGCACTTTCTCTCTTTTCGTACTTTATATTTTCTTTGACTGAATTTTCTTTTCTTCATCTTCCACTTCCCTGCCTTTTTACTTGATGCACCGATATGAGGTGTGGCAACTCGGACCGTTACGCAGTAATGCCTGGTCCTGTGTTGATTACGATGATGATGCTGATAAGGGTCTATGTATATTTGCAATGGCCTTGACTATTTCTCGGCCTTTCTAGATTTGAATATCCTTCTGGTTTTTATCTCATCAACAAATATGATAGTTACACATTGGTTCAATGCTTTCTCTCGAAACGGCGGTGCCATTCGATTGGTTGTAAAAGGCTTCAAGGATTTATGGCTTCGTATGAACATTTTGTTAATCCTACTGCACACCATAACAGAGTGTAACTAACTAACAGACATATTATCTTCCTTCGCTTTATCATATACAGAGCAGTAGGTATGGAAACCATAGCCTGTTCTGCAGACCTCAGTTGGCCAACTGCTCAACTTGGTAATCTTGTCCCACTAGGATCTGGTGATACTAGTGTCAAAAGCTCTACGGCATCAGGTAATGCAGAGCATTCTGGGCGTTCCAGCGGTCCTGGAGTGGTACCACTGAGATTAACTCATTTAGTGAGAGATTTAACACTACCAGACGTAACCGGTTGTTGTTTTGAGTTACACAGTCCAGACGGGAGAAGATCGTGTCTACTTCGGGCACCTGATGCGCAAGAAGCACGTATGTGGTTTGATGCTATACACAGTAAAATGAAAATTATTAATAAAGGCTATTTGGCTGAACTGAATCGTCTTCTTCCTCCAACTCAAGTAAGTTACAGCAGTTTTTGTCCACTTAGAATTGTATGCGATTTATTATGCAGTAGTAAGGTTTACATATTCTATAGTTATTTGTCGCGATATTACTTTAATTATTTTATTGTCTGCTATATGAATATGCATACCAACTAATGCTAGTCACTACCGCTGTGCCATTATCAATAGTTATACTTTGTAAGACTTGATAGCGACCACTAAATGGTAGTTATAATGCTAACTGGATCGACTCATATAGGTTTGTCTGCTAGTCTATGAACTCAATCTAATGTATGCGGTGGGGGCGAGGGCATTATAGGACCAATTGGCAGCCTGGAACAGAATAAGCTGAAAGAGATTCAAGTCAAGGACTCAGTACCAATGACAATGATTACAGTACCCACTAACAACAACAACAACAGGTGGCTATCTTGACTTAGTAACTCAGTTAATGCTCTTCTGGCGTTCAAACTGATGGATGTAACATTTAGGTCTTGTCGTAAATACCAACAAAATAGGATGCAGTTCACCAACTAGTTCAGGTCTAAATGGAACAGAAAATGCATCTATTAATTCACGAATCACTAAAAAAGGCTTTGAAAGATTTCTTATTCAGTTTTGCTACCTTTCATATCTACAAATTTTATGTGATAAAGAACTTTGCTGGTCATCTCAACGCTTCAGCCTTCTTTGAAAAAGACAAAGTACTTCCATGCTTTCCTCTTTGAATGTATCATGAGACCTGTTTACAACTAGGATAACTGAACAGTAGCACTTACTATGTTTTAGTCTCAAATACTGATTCGCCTTGTCAGGTGAATCAACTTGTGTGTTATTGTACTGTGTGATAGTAAGGCTTTGACAGAAAACCTAAACTGATCAATAAACCTCCGTCTGCACGAACGGACCAGTTGGTGACAAAATCTCAGCTCAAATATGTAGCACCGACTAGTGAGAAGTCCGACTATGTATCAAGCAAAGGACGAGTATACTGTGCTGCAGTCCGTTTTGTCTTATACGGCTGTGCGACATGGCCGTTAAAAGTAGAAGACATGAAGCGATCACAGGGTTTTGATCATAGATATCTTCGTAGCATTGCTTGCGTTTGTGGAGTCACCACTGTGCGGAGAATGTATAAGTCAGGCGAAGAGGAGCAGGCAAGAAAGGTAAGTTAGTCGATGAGGTTGTGATGTTCAGTCGACTGAGATGGCTTAGATATGAACTGCGCATACTAAGCCACAGAGTACCCCAACATACCATGCTAGGAGAAATATAGTGTGATGAAAAATATACATCGAAGGCATTGGATGATAGTTGGACTATACGGCGAATTGACGGAAGTAAGAAAGCGTGAACCACTGGATTCCAACCCAGTGGTTGAATGATAACGTGATCACCATAAGGCCTGATGACCCTGAGTTTGATTCTTGACGGAATAGTAGGTGTGTACTGTTGATGTCGCATACTAGAATGAATCAGCTGTTCAGTGTTTTCAGTTTCCCATTGCTTCTGCAACTTATTTCAGTTCATGATGAATTGACTTTGATGTACACCTTTTTATTCTAGCATCTATTCATCTCTAGATAACTATATGAAATTGGTTACACTCCGGTAAGGAATCAGTATACCTAAGCCAGTTCTAAAGGAGGTTAAGTGTGACGCGAATATGTCAATGGTATCGTCTCTGACTGCAACACTAGGTGACGTGGTTTTGAATCTCAGGTGGGACATCAGTTCAGTTGAAGTTGAAGTTACACCTTGCTGACGAGTGCTGACAAGCATAGAACATACGTTTAGAGTTTCCTACCAATTACATCCATCCGAATGGACATAGGATCTCTTGAAGGTCCGGAATGATATCAAGTAGACTAGAAATCTAGTTAAACTAGAGTGTTTAGTAGTGACCAAAGTATGTACAAATTTACCTTGCTAATTTCTTTCTTTCAACTATGTAGTCTCCATTACATATTTCTACCTGAAATAGCCCTGAGCAAAGCTTCATGTTCTTTTATCTCGTTATCGTATCGTGGCAAATGGATCTGAATCTATCAACCAAAAATTTATATAATTTCAATCCGTTTTAGTGCAGTGAATTCGTTTAAAGTGGAAGAAGATGCGGTTTCCAATTGGTATGACTTTTGGTATGACATAATAATGTGAATAATAAAGTAACCCCTTTGAGATTAATCACATAATTCTCATATCTTCTCATTTTATGATCCAATACCAGCATGTAAGATATCTGCACTGCAAATACTGATTTGCAGGAAACTAACCGCAGATTATGATTCTTATTCCGACTACTATTTTTTCTAAACTTACCCAGCTACTAATGAGTAGTTCAAATTCTAAGCATGTTTTCCGTAAGGAAGTTTTTTAATGTTTGCCAGATTTGGTTGACTTGCTAGTGCCAGTTTGATTGTCTGGGATAGCCTTGGTTTGGCGGACTTGCATTGATACCGGGTGATGACTGACGGCGAAATGAAAATCTAGACCATGGCAGGATTTGAACCAGTGACCACCAGGTTTCCGACCGATGTTTCACCGACTGAACTACGGGAACCAAATCTTGACCAGATTTTTAACAGTTGTTAGGCACACTAAGTTAACTTCAAAATTCTAACTATATGCGCATTACTTTCCTACAGCAAAAGTTGTAGATGTTCAAAGCTAAGTCAGGTTTACTTATTATTCGGTAGGGTGTTAGAATTTCCACTTTTTGTGCAGATGATCCGACTTCATTCAAAATTCAAACCAAATTTCAGTGTAGTCCAAGATATTATAGCTTGTGAATCTTCGTTATTGGTTAGACCCAACTGATTGACCACTATTATCATACGAGCTCCCGTGTGTGGATACTTCGATACTGCTGGTATTTTAAAAGTTGACATTAATAATGGTTAGTGGCTTGTAGTGGGATACAGGTCCTATTTGAGAGTCGTCAGCTGGATTTACCTGCCTCCCAGTGAGGAGTGTCGTTCCCACTATCATAACTCAGTGGTCTAGTACACAGTGCTCTGGAGTTTGTGGCCATTGGTCCTGCATTTGAATCTGAGTGAAAACAAAACCACTTGCTGGTGGTAGGTAGATTTAGCTGACTATTCCCAAGCAGGACGAAACGCGTGTCCTGGATTCCACTGCTAGCCACTATTCATCAATAATATCAAATCTTAGTAAAAAGAACAATTTGCTGAAGTTGATCATAACTTTTCAGTAGATATCTTTTCTACTCTCACCTTATCCTTAATTTCGATGACCAGTTTATCATACTACTATTTAAACTTTATAACATCTTTAACGCCACTATTCACTGTTATTCACTGATTATTTTGATTACTAACCCTTTTTTTTGTGAAAGGAACTCAAACAATTGGATTGGCTAGTTGAACTGCGTTGCACTGGCTCAGATGTATCAAACAGATCGAGTGATCATGCAGATGATGCGAATGGCAATATTGTAAGTGATATTCTTTCGGCTGGAGATCATTCTACAATGACTTCTCATGCAACGTGGAAACCAGTTTTTGCAGCATTGTCTGATAGAGACTTACTTTTATATGATACAGCACCTACATCTAAGGAAGAATGGGCAAACCCTGTACGAGCACATCCTTTAATTGCTACTCGTGTTGTTCCAATCGACTTAAGAAAATCGAATTTGAATGATCTTGGTGCACAGAATGAAAATGGTCGAAGACGTCCACCGGGTGACATGGTGACATTTCTAACTAGAACTGGTAAGTTGTCCTGTCAGATAGGAAGTGTCACTTAATGTACAGATGATCTACTGAGAACGTTAAACACTTTGTTAGTTATAGTCATATTTACGTGGATAAAATTGGACAGTATGGTCTCACTTTTGTAGAATCTTACTGCACAGTTTCACTTTCTTACGCACAGTCTCTTTACAATGCAGTATCAGTTCTAACTTCTTCATGCGGTATCTACGCCACTTATAGCACATACTTAAATCACTTAAAAATCATGTGTAGTTAGTTTGATTGTAAGCTGTTGGGAGATCTTTTGCGAGTAACTAATCTTCACCCTAAGCGCTTAGTTATTCATGACGTCTTTTGTGTGAAAACATATCATACAAACCACATCAATTTGATATAGAGTACAGAGTCTTTCTTTTGCAATGAAACTCGAGATCATCCAGGATCTATTATTAGGACTATGTTACTTTTTACTATCCCTGGTCTGTGGAGTGAACAATGCAGGAAAGACAGATATTTTAAGCGAATTTCAGTCTTCAATGACTTTGAATTAGGAAATATGCTTGTTAGCAGCTTAATAGGTTAGTTATAAAATTTCCAAGCACTTCATATTTTGGACTACACTTAGTCAAAATAACACTGGTCATAATTTTCACTACATACCTTTACATTATTCATTAAACGCTTTTTTTGGTCTTCATAAATCTATACTGTAAAGTTTCACCTGGGAAAATCTTAAAGCATCTCTGTGAGAAAGTAAAGTACGACTGGTTACCTCTAAGATAAATCTTTAGAAGAAAGAGATAAATTTAGAAGGTGGCCAGCTGCATTTTAACTGATTAATCTGTATATTTTGAAGGCGGTTCAGAAAAATTCTGTTTCACATCATTCGTATGCAACCAAGCATTCAATAATGCCAACTACTGACTCATTATTTATCACTACATCGTTAACTAGGCAGGAAAAAGTGTGACTACCAATTAACCAAACATATTTCACTCGGCTTTTTGACATGAATAACGTAGATACTTATGCGAAATGTTGTACACCATAGTTTGTTAATCCCGAACAGAAGGTATTTAAATGGCAGCAACTACTCTTCTTTACTTCTGTTGATTTATGGTTTGAAAATGAATCGGTGAGTCATCACATGTGTGGAAGAAAGGAGTATTAAGCTCGTTATTTAAAACAACTAAAATGGTTAAAAGTATAGTCTATGGTGTTTTCAAAGTGTTTGCGCTGCAAGGTATCACTTTTTAAAAAGACTATGAACTATAATTTTAACAATTACTTTCATTTTAGTGTTATTGTTTGTATTACACCGTCGTTGATAGGACCGAATTGATCAGCGCATCCTGGATTCCACTGCTAGCCACTGCCCATCATTACTAAACATAGTTAAAAGACAGGTCATATCGAGGCATCCACATAGGAGCCCATATGCCAACAGAGGCTGATCAATTCGGTCCTATCAACGACGGTGTAATACAAGCAATAATACTAAAACCTATACCCGTTGCACAAGAAGCGGCTATCGTGGCTCGGTGGTGTAGTGGACAACGCGCCGGCGTTTGGAGCGATCGTTCCCGAGTCCGAGTCCCGGTGGGCACAACATCACTCACTGGGAAGCAGGTAAATCCAGCTGACGAGTCCCAAATAGGACGAAGTGCGCATCCTGGATTCCACTGCTAGCCACCGCCCATCATTACTAAAATTACTTTCATTAGTTTATAATCCCCACTAAGTCATAAAACAAAAGACGTATGGCAGAGTCACTGTTTTCAACGATATTATTCTTAAGCTGTACAGTCGCATACACAAGTATTTTATTCGCATAGTAGCAGAAAAGGAATGTTCCACGAAGTATTTTTTGAACGAAGTTCATATTTATATAGTAAAGATGGATGGTGGCCAGTAGTGAAATCCAGGATGCGCAATGAAGTTCATATTTGATTATAAATCAAGAAATCAGGAAAAAGAATTGCGTAGTATTTGAAATAATAAAGAGAACACTTTTCAAGACGGAACTAATATTTAGTTGCTAAGTTAGATGATGTAATATACAGTGAATGTAAAGAGAAATCAGAATTAAAGGAGTGGAGGAACGTAATGTGTGAAAAGATCTGAATGAAAAGATTTTTGAGAGTAAAAATGTTCTAACAGGTTATGTCCATTGCAACTCTAGTGGCTGGACAAATTTCTTTTGAACGCAGAGTTAAGGCTTCAAAATATTAATTGATATGGCTTCCGTAGTTTGAAGAAGTTTTAGGCGTACATCTTTCATGAGATTTGCACGAACTGTATGGATAACTCTGTCGTTGTTTTCTGCACTTACTGCGTGTTCATAGTCGATCAAATGTTCTAAAATAGAGCTATAAAGCGCCCCTCTTTCTCCTTTGTGGAACCAGGCTGGTATGTGTTCGGAAATGCGTTTGGAAAGCGAACGCTGACTAGGGTCAATATATCTTACTCCACAGGAACAGGTAAATTGATAAACACACATCGAGATGGCCAAGTGAGCTAGCTTATCCTTTACGCATAGTCGAAGCTCTGAGTGAGTGAAGATAGTTAATCTGAGTTTGGCAGCGCAAAAGTCTTCCTCAATGAGCTTGCCACACGGTTTCTCAACATATCTGCTGATGTGTCTTCGTTTAACTGTTAACTCATGAAAAGAAGCCTCTTAGGAGCCGTAGAAGTGGAATGATTATTTGCTTCTAGTTTTATAGTTTTAGCAATGAAACTCTCAGGCTACTGGTTCTCAATCAAAACATGCTCAATGCACACTGTGATTGTTATCAAATCATGATTGTGTTTGTATTAGTTCTACGCAAATAGTGTTTTGAAAGCATCACCTTCACTAAAGTCATATAAAAGATAAATGTGATTGCACTGAAGAGGACTTGTATTAAAATGGGCATGATATTAAGTGAAATCACTTACCTACTGGATGATACTTCACTCTTCAGCAATGCCTGCTTATACAGATCATTCACTTTTGAATTGAGAAAGAACAATGACTGGAACAAGATAAGTTGGTAGCATTTTATTTCGCTGGTTTCTCGTCAGCTGCTTACAACTTTAATCACTAAAATTCCATATAATAAGAAAATTTGAACACTTTGCAGTTGAATGAAGCTAGTTAGCAGGGATTGACATGATTTAACGAAGAATACCAACATCCGTATAAAGTTAATAAGACATGGAAAGAAGTCTCAGTAATACATGAGATTCAACATAGACTTTGAGAAGATTACCAAGTAGGTTAGTTGAAAACAGATAACAGACGAATAGTGTAATCATATAATGAGTTGAACTCAGTTGATCAAGTGATCATCAAAATTTTGTGTAAACAGAAAAAAGTTCAATCAAAAGATGATGTCATCAAGAAGGAGGAAGAATAAAACATTGGGTTACCGTGGTGAAAAAAGACTTATCACTGCTTCTTTTGAATACATGTAATTCCGGCCACAGTCATTTGTTCGCTATGGTTTCAGTAAATTCAGAAGCTTTGAATTATATGGCTTGGTGACTACCTTTGAACTAGATTTCATGAAATATAATAATTGTATGAATCATCCTTAATGTGGTTTGAAGAGTCATAAAAAAAATGAAAATGACAAGTTTATCTGTATATTGTTTAAGATTCAAGTAGATCATTAGTTACGTTTTTGGCAGAAATAATGTATGATGTTTATTTAAATTATGGAAGATACGAGTTGATGGAGAATATTTGTAGCTCAGATGGATGATTTTGATGGTATTGTGGTCTCTGAACTGAATCGTTTAGTTGTGCATGGGTAAATCTGTCACCTTTTGATGCAGTCATCTTTACCCATTACTACTATAATACGCCTTTGTCAGCTGGGACTCTAACGAGGTTCTTTTTATTCTTCGCTTTATTAAGAGCTCTCTGTCCTTCACTGGTTAGTTAAGTACGGTCTCACTTCCACCTGCTGAGAGGTACGATTACTATAGTATTTCCTGTCGGGTCTCAGGGCTTAGTCCTGAAGTCTTTAGTGGTGACTCTAGGAATCCGAAGAATTTCGGTCCTGAAGCGTCTCCTGTATTGTAATTTAGTCTTTTCTGACGGAGAAGTTCCTCGGTTTTGATCAGAGGTTGTTAGAACAAGTTGACCGCACAGTCACTTCTTTCTTCCCCTTCTGATGCTCGTGATTTTGAAATCTTAGCCAGCTTCTCTTGAAGTATGTTTCTTCGCTATTCTTTTTGTCGTCTGCTTGGTTTTTCAGTTGCAATTGCCAAAGTTGTAAATTGTTCTGTTGTCTCCATCCCTTGAAGATTTTTCTGTTGGCTGTCTATCGTCTGTTGATGTTTCTTAGTCCGATAATGAGCATCAGTTGTACCATGTATCTCCTATTCCTTTCCACTAATTTCTAGCCTATCGGGCAGTCGGTAGGTGATCCGTACGTGACATAATATGGTTGCGTAGACACCCGTAAAGAAAATACAGCTGTTCTCTTTGTGGAGGCCCACCTATCGGCGAAGTTCTCCTATTTCCGAACAATAAGAAGCGTTTGATCCTCGTAAGATTTTGAGATAATGGAGAATATTTGCAGCTCAGGAGGATGGTGTTATGTTTCCTTAGCTGCATAGCTTAATCGTTTGATCATTAGGCTCCTTAAAGATGTTTTCAGTGAAGAATTATTCCCTCGTAAATATACGACTTCAATTTCTTATTTTGGTATTTCACGGTGTGGTATCATCCGTGTTGAAAGTGTTTCTGCATCTATGAAATGTGCATCATTATTTTCTTCTCGATTTCGTTAAATATTATAGCTCCTACATTTTGTATTCAACTGAGAGTCTGTCTCTTCAGACAGTAGTGGAGGTTGAAATATAACTGTTAGGTATTATTAATCGGATTAGTTTTTTCTTACCACTTTTAATATCTAGTTTTTGATTGCTTATTTCAATAAGCTTACAAAAACACCAAACATCAGACCAGTGAAATACTATTCGGTAAGTTTTTCTGAATTGAAAGATAAATTTAAATATGATGATTTGGTAAGTTTGGTCACCTTTTCCTTAAAGACGTTTTTCCTTACGAGAGATCTTGAGATAATCCCTATGAATCTGTAAAGAAGGGACATTTGAATACAATACCTAATCGTTATGTATGGTGAACGTCGACAGTATAAGTCAACTAGAAAATGTATGAAGAATAAATGTGTTTTTACACTACTAATGACTACAAATTTAATGTGATTATTCTGTGTGTGTGTGTGTGTGTGTGTGTGTGTGTGTGTGTGTGTGTTATTCTACAATTATTTAGGCAGTAAACATGGTATCGAATCGCATACATTTGCCGTATCTACTCAAGAAGACTTAATAACTTGGTCCAAGTCAATAATTGAAGGTGCACATATGGCTGTTGCCACAGCACAAGAGGTGGTTATCACTTGTAGATGGCAAAATTATGATTGCCATTTAACATTACATTATGATACTGGTTTAAAGTTAATATGTCGTCAACTCCCAGTAGAATCTTTGCATCCAACATCACAACCTTCAACATATGGTAATATGATCAGTGAACATGTGATATGGCAGTATCCATATGAAAAACTAAGATCTACAGCAGATGATGGTAAAACAATTCTGTGGATTGATTTTGGGCCAGATGGAGAATATGTAAGTAAATTCATGAACACTGAGTTAACAGTACGATCATCTTATTATACATTTTAATGGTTATTATTATCATAGTATATTTTCATGTTGAGTGCATAAGGTTTATAGGTCGGTAATACGGTAGCTTTATAACTTCAGATTAAAACTTGTCATTATGTCAACAAGTAAGTGATATGAGTAAAATTACGTTAAAAAGCATTAATGTCGTATTTATATGCCTTACAAAAATTAACTGGTTTGATATAAAGCCAAAAATAAATTTTTACCACATTTATTGAAGTCTGGCTAGTGCATCATTTTAAATCGACCTTAAGTTGTAAGTCTCAATACTTGCTGGCATTCAAGTTTCTCTTGTTATAATCTGAAGTTCGAACGTCTAGGATTTGTTTCGTTAATATTTTTGCGCAGTCTTTTTTATTAGATATTCTCATGTCATTCAGATTATTCTTCTAACATATTTTCCTTGTATTCAACCGTTAGAAACTTCAAATCAATTTTTACTGCAAAATGAGTGATGTTTGCAAAACTAAATATACTACAATAGAATTAAGTTGTTGGAAATCTGCAGAGAAGTCATGTAATTTAGGCTAATTACTATGTCTTACACTGTATTGTGATCCTCAGTGCTAATGTTACTACACTTGTTGATTCCTAATGAAGCACAAATATTAGTTTCAGGTCAACACTTGCCTTTGTGATCTACTGTGCCAAGTGTGTCAAAGATGTTTCTCATGTAAGTCTTCTCGACTACAATCCTCATTACCTTGGAGGATTGTGAAGATTATATGATTTCATTGTGGTATTCAACCCGCGTTCAATCCTTGGCGATGCCATGAATAGGCATTGCATTGGAGTCCCATACTACGACGAAACAGATGTCCACTGTTCTCAGGTCTCCAATGTACCCCCAAGTGACATCAGTTCGTGATGAATACCACTTGAAAACAATCCTCATTATCTGGCAATAAACAGAACTAATTTTTATAGTTCCTAAAACTATAACTATTTATCTTCAACAAAAAAATATATATCCAAGTGTTCAATGAAGGATAATTACTCAGCAAAGAGGATGTTATCATTTAATTATCTGAGATAGCCGTAGTTTAGCAAACTAGTATTTATACTGGATGATGATTGAAGGTGAGATGAAAATCTGGACCGCAGCCGGATTCGAAACAGCGACCACCGGGTTACCCTCTCGGAGCTCTACCAACTGATCCACGAAGTCCGACTTGGATTGGGATGAGAAGTTCTGACAGGCAGCCAGTGTGAATACCATCAAGCGGTAGTTACGCATCGCGAATTCACATGGTAGTCTGGCAAAACCCTTAGTGATTGAAGTGAAGTAAAATTCTGGTCAGCAGTCGAACCTGGCAGGTGAGTTGGTAGAGCACGGGGCCGGCAACCCGGTGGTCGCTGGTTCGAGTCCGGCTGTGGTCCAGATTTTCATCTCACCTTTAATCCTCACGCAGTGTAAAGATGATGTTGTTGAATGTTTGTTTATTATCTACTTTCTAGAGCATAAATAAACTAATTATGATAAACAAATTTTAGGTAGAAATAATGCATCAACAAACCACGAGATTAGTTCTCCTAGAATTTAGAAATAAAATCCACTTTACATGTGTGCATAAGCATAATCTTTTGTTAGATCGTATATTTCCTGGTCACTGCTTATATACTTTATTCTGGTTGATGTTAGGAACTTCTAAATCTTTAAAACGCACACACGCGCATACATTCTTCAGTGCATTTCACTTCCAGACATGTAACACGGTACACATTGCTCTGCGGCAACCGTATCGCATGGTCTGGTAGCCGAACTGCCGAATTGGTCGATAAAATTTGACCAACACTTAGGACTAGATAGCTATATCAAGTGACCGACTCCTATTATCTACAACTAGTCAAATGATGCCTAAAACGATAAGTGGAGTAATCTTTAACTTTAACCCTTTGCGACACAGATTCCAATCTTCAGGGAAGTTAGAATCTCCTGCAGGTTTAAAGCTCCTAGCTTTTACTTAATTTTTTTGGTGTTGACACCAATATTTGTGAGGTGATCATCTCATGATGGAAACTAACATGACTATAAGACAAAGTACTTCTTTTTTTCTCGTTTCGAGTGCGAAAAATGAACCATATCTAAAAAATACCCTGATATTCAAACTCTACAGAAATAGTAAGCAATTATATTTGATTCGGAAACTAGTTTTTTATCCGTATCGATCAAAATTGACTGGACGGTATCAGAAGTACTAAACATGATGATAACTCGTTGACTAAGGTTGAAATTATTTCCTCTCTGAAATCCACTATAAGTAGGTGAACTATAAAAATTTTGACCAAGGGTTCAAAATGTCAACTCTTGTGTTGTCAGTTAATTCAGTGACATAGCAAAGAGTAGATTGTATGTCAGAAGAGCTGGGCAGTTATACTCAAGACACTTTTATTTTTTATCTAATGAATAATAGCATTTCAATCAGATTGTTTTCATAATCAAAGCATCCATCAATAATGCCTAATAGTTATAACATTTTTAGAATTGTAGCTCGAGTCGAGGTATATTTCCTGTTCCCAACTGGTAGCTGTTATTTTTACGTTTTGGTCTGGCTGCATATCACAGTGACTCAATAAGCAATACTGGTTGAACGCTTGTTGTTTTAAGGTCCTATCATACCAGAAATGTCTGTTGGCTGTCTGGTTGGATAGTCGCAAACAAAAAGCAGTTGCAGTCATTGTGTAAACGCGTCCGTCATGATGAGGCTTCGAGGGTGAAGCCGTATAGATGGCTGAATGAGGGTGTGATAACAGTAAGATGTTTCCCGTGGAAAACCAGCAATGTGGCACTGACGTTACCTTCCTGATGGGAAGACGATGGTTATGAAAAGATCGGCCCTAAAAATAGCACACTCCCATCTACTCTGCTGTATACCGATGCCGGCAATATGGGTTCATAGTCTGATTCGAAACAAAAGGACTTTAGACTACGAAACATGCCCATTGAGTCATAGAGAAGAGATAATTCAGCGAAGAAAATTTTCTTTTTCGACGATATCATTTTCTAAAGCTGTACAATCGTATTTAAGAACTTTAATCTCAGACTTCGATAAAGACCGCATGTGACTGGCTTCAAGCAGATGACCCATAGGCTCTGAGGTCAGGTACCTCAGGAAGAACTAGCTTCCTACAGTGTAGGTAGTCGGAAGTGTCAAACAACCCCAAGCTTTCAGTCATATACAAAACACAATAAAACACAACTTACTCTCCTCACTTTTGTCACCTCATCTACCTGCAAATCTTCATACCAGTACTAAATCTCGTATTACTTCCCCAACTTCTTTCTTTAAGTCCACTGTCAATGACCCAAGCCGTCGAAATAGTATTCCTTTTCTCCTAAAACGCCGCCGTCGGTTTCACATTGGATCCTTCAGTGGCCAATCCCTATGCCAAATCGGACAGAAAGTGCCTCATGCTAGAAATTTAGAATCTCAAGCCATAGATGTGAACTGCATTCCTAAGACATGTAGAGATGAAACGAGTGCGGTTATTCATCACTTAATCTCACCTGGCCAATGTGGTGAATCTTCAGAATTCACCTTATGAGTATCTGGAAATTCAATGGCTAACTCTCGTGTAGACAACGAATTAAGTTGTAGTGCAGAAAGCGCGCTCTTCAGTTAAATACCAGTCAACAACCGTCTATGTGCTGTTAGATTGAATAATTCTGTGAGAACTAGGAAGGATCTTGAGATTAGCCGATGCCTATTCGTAATCTCTGCCTACACGCTCATCGACTGCAGTTCGAATGATGAAAAGGATGAATCCTATCATCAGTTATCAATTTTGCCCCAGAAAGCAAAACGTTCAGATGTAGTCATAATGTCAGGTGACTTCAACGCTGTAGTAGGGAAGTTGAGCCAGTCCTAAAGGAACCTTGGAGTGTCCAAGGAATTCCGTGCCAACGAGCAGGTAACTGAGGTCGTCTGTTGCGATTTTGTTCCGACAATCAACTGTTTCTGTCCAGCACTAAATTCAAGCATAAGGAGACACAATGTATCACACGGCATCTACCGACATCAAACGAACGATGGATACAGATGGATTCCATTGCTTTTAGTCAACGTTGGAGGGGATTAGTGGACGTTTGTCACCCTTTCTGGAGTACCAGTTTACCCTCCGATCAAGTGTTGGCCCGAGCAGGCGTAGGTCTATTCCTTACTGGGCGCGGAAAACAGGGGGTAGTAAAGTTTATACGTACTTGATTGGAAGATGAGAACGTCAACTTCTTAGTTAGGGAGGAGACAGGTGAGCATTTATCTGGACGTGATAGCAGTGCTCATTGCGAGGAAACCTGGCGTAATATTCATTTTGGTATAGAAACAGCAGTAAGGAAAATTGGTAACTTACATCCAAAGGTTAGCAAAAGGCACTGGATTTCCACAACGTCATCCAAACCGATTGATGCGAGAAGACTGATTCCAGCTGGATCTCACCACGACGAAGACCCAGAGCAGCTCAAAAATAAATTGACCAAGAGTGTTCGCGTCAATCGCGAGCAGAGGTAGGTAGTGAAAGCGAGCAAGGTGGAAAAAACAACAGGGTTGATTAACTATTTAGGCCTATTAGGCAGAAAAATGGTGGTGAGTGAAACCGTCACCGAAAATGATGGGATACCCATAATCCCCAGGAAAGGCGGCTAGAACGTCGAGAACGCTTCGAAGCACTGTTCAATGGTTCCCACCAACACTTCAGTCACCCCACATCAAACCCGAGCCTTAATGGTACGTAGATGTCGGTCTTCCAACTCTTCTGGAAGTTGAGAAAGCTGTTTTGTGTCTGAAAAGATGCAAAGCAGATGGACCTGACAGTTTTCCACCTGAAGTCTACAAGGATCAGAGGTAGTGCTGTCAGACCGGGTATTTCACTGATCATCTGAGTCTACAAGAAGGGAGAGAAATCTTTTTCTGTCAACCATAGGGGAATTAGTTTGACGAATAGTGTATCGAAGATCCTGGGATCCATAGTTATCCGACACCTTAAGGGAGCTCAACAATAGCAAACTCGAGAAAAACCAGACGGATTTCACACCTACAAAAGAGTGCGTCGATCAAATTATCACCCTTCGACAGGTTCTGGTGGCGGACGTTTAGCATATTTTTCGACCTGAAGCAAACATTCGACTCTGAGGTGTTGTGGCAATGTCTGACTGTCGCTATTTCTGAAACAGTATAACTTTGAAAAATAAGTCTCAAAGTTTTGTAAGCACCTCGATAAGAGTGTGCGCAATAAAGTATGTATGAGATGCCATCTATCAGGTACTACTGCATTACTATACCAAATAATTAAATTCACTGTAGAAAATATTCAATATTACTGAGTTATAGGCTTTTTTGATAATAAATATGACTATTCGATAACTTAATATACGTTATACTGTAATTAAGCGACAGGTGTTATTAACACTTTTGACGGACAAATAATATCTGATTTTTGTTTACTGCCGTATGTGTAACACTTGAAGCGTGATATTTAATAAATGCAAAAGGATGTTGTTGCCAATATAAATACTTTCTTTATTTATCAATCAGGAATTAGATATGCTGGGATGCCCAAAACCTGTTGTGTTCATTCTTCACAATATATTATCTGCCAAAGTAACTAGACGTGGACTATGTGGATAGAAAAACAAAATCAAGAATTATGTGAAATGAATGTTACAAGATTTCATTCAGTCTGTTGATATATTTCATTCACTTACAGTTTCTGGTGGATAATCAAGAGATGATTTTACACGATAGTTATGTGCAATAAATGGAAGAAGAAAGAAGGAGAGAAAACGAAAGTGTAACTTTTGTGTTTGCAAAATAACTTTAGAATGTGATTTACTTCGTATTCATTTTGAATAACACTTTTATATTTATTTACATTTACTAACTAGTCTATTGAAAAAATAACCAGTCAGTCACAAAAATTACTGCCATTGTGCATGGTACATTCCAGAGACACCCTTCTCCTTTTATACATCATAATAAGAGTGTTGTATTTTCTCAGCTGTGCTTTATTCATTGTACACGATTTAATTCGCAGTATCTGCACGCAGGTCACTTGGGCACATGAAATAAGCTTTTCTCTTCTCCCTTAATGTACACTTTCCAAGCTCTATTTACCGAACATATTTTTCCTTTTCCCATCTTTCTTTTGAGTAGATTACCTTGTTGCTAAATTTGGTACTGCAGTACTTTGAAAAGATTGTTGTTGCCTTCGTGGCCCGTATATGGGTGAAGCGAAGGAGTCTAGATGGCAAAGAAGTGACTCAGTGTAGTTGTAAACCTCTGGAAACAAAACAAATTTACTTTTCACTATGCATACTAAGGCCCAACTAGAAGGGAACAATAACAGACAAGACATTGTAATTTGTTTGTATTCATCTGTGATAATGTTTTGTTTGTTTTTAGCATTTATTGAGATCTAAAGTGGAATATTTGCGAAATTACAATGACTGTAATGCCTATCAACCTTCCTTTGACAAATGTGTTGTCTGTGCATTCTTTTTTCTGTGAATTTGTTTCCTTCGGTTTGTACACTTTTGTGTTGATTGGTATACAGCGAAAACAAGTTTTTAACTTACCTTATCTTCTGAGAATTTCCTAGTTGATGGATTGGTTTTACTTGACTGCCAAAAAAGAAAACGGATGGACATAAAACGTATTACTGTATATGTGTGTGTACTTCAAAAGGTTTTATTGTAGACTATACGTATCATTATCTGATAGACGGTACATTACGCAAGTAGATGTAACGTTACATAAATACTTTTGTATTGGCTGTGACATCTTTATTGACGTCAGCTGATTCACCAGGTGAATATCACATCATTTTTATTCACTTTTAAGACTTTTCTCTCGAACGTTTACTGTTCATATGAATTTTGAATCGTTAATCATCAGTTCTAGAGCTTTACTGGACAAAACATCTTAAACATGTTTTCTGAAGAGATTCACTAAAACCAACTTATTCGACAACCACTTACATCATATGAAGTTATCCAGTGTATCGAGATAAATCTTACTAAAAAAAATAGATAACTTATCGGGAACAATAGCACAATAATATAATATGTGATAAATCTGATATCTGATAATATAGAGACCATTTTTGCGTTGTATTCCAAACTATCCATGAGGACAATACCAGCGCCTTTATCTGGAATAACTAGTAGCAAATCTTTGGAATACAACGCAAAATGGTCTCTATATTATTAGATATGAGTGAATTTTTCAAAGAGTGTGCTTAAGATGATGCCACTTAACAAATTGAACGAAAGCTCACCCGAATTCTAAAGAAAATGAAGAATGAGTCTATCATCAGACGCGAAATATTCCAGCAGTTGCGACCTCCTGGTTCTGTTACTCCTCGCTAATATGGTCTCCCGAAACTCCACAAAGAAAATCTTCCTCTTCGTCCAATTTTCGACATGAACAATTCACCATATCATTCTATCGCCAAGTGGCTGTCTGAGGTCCTCCATCCAGTTAGAAAACAACTAAGCACGCATAGCTTATTGGATTCCTTCGAATTTGTCAACTCAATTAATAATGTCAATATATCCGGTAAGCGAATGATTTCCCTGGACGTGGTCTCGCTCTTCACCAATGTCCCACTCATAGAAACTATCTGTTTTCTATGTGAGTTCATTGAAGATAATAACTTTCAAGTGGGTATCCCAAAGCACTATTTAAAGGAATTGCTTCTAAGATGTACTTTCAATGTGCAGTTCAAATTCAACAATGATCTATATAGACAAAAGGATGCGGTTGCCACTTGGACCGTTGCTGGCTGATTGCTTTGTGGTGAAGCTAGAGTATAGTGTGTTGCATTAAACAGTTGATAGTTTCTACCTATATAAAAGATATATTGATGACATATTCATCATAAGTGATCAAAATACAGATATTGAGACTATAGTTAAAATGTTCAATGATTGTCACCCATCGATCAAATTCACATCAGAATTTCAAGAGAACTCAAAATTCCATTTTCTCGATGTTTTATTGAAACGGAAACCAGATGGTTCTCTTCAGCAATCAATTTATAGCAAGCCTACTTGTAACGGACAATATTTGAATTTCCACAACTGGATGCCTCTCAGCAAGCAGAATGAGGAATCTAATCCATTCTTTATCTTCAAGAATCAAAAGAATCTGCACGGGTGATACTATTGACGAAGAATTAGATAAACTAAGGAAGATCCTCATGCAAAATAGATATCCATCCAGATTTATCGATAAGAACTTGAAGGTGAATCAGAATACGGAGCGAGTACCCACAGTTCCTATGAAGACCTTGCTTATGAACGTTGTTGTCAAAGACGATACGGCATCAGAGATCCTGAAGAATCGGCTATCCAGATCACTGAAGAAGACATCCCTCTCTGCGAAGCTGCAGATCAGCTTCTCTAGTCAACAACTCATTGCAGAGCGCGTTAAGGACAAGTTGCCACTTTGGGCCAACTCGATGTGTGTCTACAAATTTACTTGCTCCTGTGGAGCTAGTTATATAGGCCGCACAAAGCACACGCTTTCCAAACGTATCTCTGAGCACTATCCTGCATGGTTGTCTAGGGGAGAATGTAAATCAATTAACAGTTCAATTCTTGAACATTTGGTCACTCTGGACATAAAGCTAGACCAGAATCCTCCTTCAATCTCATTTATCGAGACAGATGGAATAGTTCAAAAGGAGTACGCCTTCAACAGTTGTGCACAACGGAGGCACTGGCAATTCATCAATTCAAGCCTGATCTCTGCGTGCAAAAGAAGTATGTTTAATCTCTCATCTTACCATGGTCTTAACACTTTCTTTTTTTTTCGATTTCATTATAATTAATTAGTTTGTTATTATCACCTTCATTATGATCCTTGTCTCAATCTTCACCTTCTTTACATCTATCTATCAAGTGGATACTCAATATTTGCGTTTCTTATCTACCAACCATTTTCACCTTGTCAAACTCCTTGCCTTCATCAATATTTCTACTGTCTTAGTTTATCACGCAACTACTTTGCGTTCTTGATTACGGTTTTTTAGCACTAGGTTAATGATGTAATTATACCCTGTTGTTTCATAGTAAACTGTTGTATGTTTATGGTATATATAAATATGATTGTACAGCTTTAGAGAATGATATCGTCGAAAAAGAAATTTTCCTCGCTGAATTATCTCTCCTCTAGAGCAGAAGCTCTGGAAAATTGTGTAAACTTGATAGGAAATTTCACAACTGTATTCACTACCAATGAACCATTGCACAAAAGGAAGGTGAAAAATATATTCCAGGGAAATGATTTGTTATGTTCTAGTGAAGTAAGCAGAAAAGTTAGTAGTTACAGCAAATTAAAATTTTAAAACTCAACCAGAAACAATTCTGTTCTGGCATTCGTTTAAAGTTGTTATATTAATCATTTCGTTAAATTTAGAGAAACGACTCGTTCGAAAAATTACATTTCCCTATCTTATTTCAACAAAGCTCGAGAACTGTTGATAATAAAAAGTTCCATTCGAACAAAAAAAGAGTTGGTTGGAGATCTGTCATATTACTAGGATAGTTAACACTCTAGACGATATAATTTTATCGAGTATAAGAGCGATTGAGGAATACAAGATTTCATTATTATTTATCCATTGAGCGCCTAGTTGAACCTAGGGCTTGAGTAGCACATCGTCATTTCACACTGTTCTCTACAGTCTTTTCAACCTGGCTCCACGACTGCCCACAAGCTTTCACTTCTTCCTCACACAATCTCCTCTATGTCAACCTCAGACGACCAACTTGTCGTTTCCCCTCTCGGTTCCACTGGATGGATTGGCTTGGCCCGTGCTGTCCCCGAATGGTCTTCTCAGTGTATCTCCAATCCAATCCATCTCCACTTTCTTCTGCATGTTTGTTGGGCGATGGGTTCTTGGTTGCTTCGTTGTGGAGAAGGTTGGACCCTCAAAATAGTACACCCTTCCCTGCCCTACCGTCTTTTAGTACGAGGAGTAGAAGTTTTACTATCCGATGTTTCTTCTTCTTCTTATTATTAGTCCCTTGGGTTCCTAGTGGAACATAGGGCTTCAGTAGCACGCCTCCAGTGACCTCTGTTCTCTGAGATCTTTTGAACCTGGTCCCACGACAGCCCACAAGCTCTCATTTCTTCCTCGCACGACCTCCTCCATGTCACCCTCGGACGTCCAACTCGTCGCTTCCCATGGGGATTCCACTCGAGGGCCTGACTCGTGATATCCCCAGTCGGCGTTCTCAGTGCATGCCCAATCCATCTGCACTCCCTCCTGCATATTTGTTGGGTGACAGGTTCTTGGTTGGTTCGTTCCCAAAGCTCCTTGTTGCTTATTCTTTCTGGCCATCTGATCTTCAGTAGCGAGCGTAGGCAGTTGTTGATGAATGTCTGTAGTTTATTGGAAATCCCTTTCGTGACGCGCCAAGTCTCTGAGCCATACAGAAGCACTGACTTGACGTTGGTGTTCCGCATGCTGAGTGCAGAAGATCTCCACACTGGTTTCAGGCTAATGAACACCTGTCTTGCTTTTCCGATTCCGACTTTGACATCCTCGTCTGTGCCTGTGTCGCCTGTAGTTGAAACAGTGCTTCCTAGATAGGTGAAGGAGGTTACTTCCTTTAAGTTTCTCCCATTGATGGTGACTGGAGTTTGTTGTTGTTGTTGGAGTTCTTGGTGCGGTATCCCTGTCACCTCTGTCTTCTCTATATTCACTGGAAGTTTCGTCTTCGCTGCCTCAACTCTTCTGTCAACTTGTTAGTTTTTGCCTGTAGATCTTCAAGTTTATGTGACATTAGGCACAGGTCATCGGCGAAATCCAAGTCTTCTAGGTTCTTTTCCGCAATCCAGCTAGCATATCCCCCTCTTCTCGCTCCCCACTGTTTGCTGCATGATCCAATCCAGTCCAGTCGACCACAATCAGGAATATCATGGGGGATAGTAGGCAACCTTGTTTCACTCCTGTCTTCACTTCAAAGGCACCACTGAGCTTCCCATTGTGGATTACTTGGCTGGCATGTGGCATCTTCATATAGTTGTTGAATGAGATTGATAAAGGTTTGCAGTACTCCGTAGTATTGAAGCAGCTTCCAAATTACTTCTCGGTCGACGCTGTCAAAGGCCTTTATCCGATGTTTGGGAAACAAAATTTCCAGACCAAATATTCTCAAAAGACTATGTGTCAGAGATCGCAAGTAGATGTCCCATGGGCTGTGTCGTCAAGCAAATC